TACCAATCATTTCTTTTCTCAGTTGTTTTTTCCTTTTTTTCAATACTTTATAACTTCCTATTTTTAATACTTTTATAGTTATAGTTATTAGATATTTACTATATAATCCAAACTCTTTCACTCGAAAAACAACCACATTGCCTATCTGATTGGCATTTCTCGTTTTTTTTTCTTTTAATTGTTTATTATTTTGAAATGTCAATTTGATTGTTAATGAATTTGTTATTTTAAATAAAATGTAATAAACATTTTAGAAAAACTCGTTTAACTTTGTTAATTAGCAATTATGCTTGTTTTTTCAAAAAACAATAATCATTAATTATCTTTTCCTAGTCAGTCCATTCATTATTTTTAATCAAAACAAAACTTTACAATTTACCAATTCAAAACTGTTGAAAAACTATTGCCTTTTTCTTCTACAATTTTTGCTTAATGAGAATTGTGGTAAAAGTATTATTCTTTTGTCGATATTATGGTACACTATCTGGCTGAATTTATCGGGGGGTTGCTGTATTTAAAAAAAGAAAAACATCTAGAAAAAAGAAACTTCTTTCTATTTCAATTCAAACATAACATTCTAAATAACAAAAAATAAATAAATTATACAATACAGCACGTCGCCCCACACAACTTCCCCTTTTTCTTGTTCTTTTCCTTTTTGGAACTTTTAGGAGTTATCCCCTCTTCAATAGGGCACTCCTCAAAACAATTATCTTTGAACAAAAGGTCCAACTTTTTGTTATATGAAACATGGGAAAGGGACTTACATCGGTTGAAGCAGAAGTCTCCAAACGTTTTTGACGTTGCTTGGTATTTCGATAGATGTGAGTTGGTCACACTCGGAAAACGAGTATTTCCCAATCGACACAACAGTCGACGGCAACACTATTTTCTTGAGTGACTTACACCCAAAGAAGCATTCATCCTGTAATTCCGTGACACCTTCTGGTAACACTATATTCGACAAGTTTTCACATCCCAAGAAGCACCCTCGTGGTATCGAAGTAATTTCTTTTGAATTAAAAGTGACTGAAGAGAGTAGAACGCAATGACTGAAACAGTAACTTTGAATGCTTGAAACATGATCGGGTATACAGATATCGTTGAGTGTCGTGTCACATGAGAAACTGAGTTGACCAAGTACCTTGGTGTTCTGTGGTATTACATTTCCATGAGCGGAGTGGTACTGCTCTGTGAATATTGTGGTGTTGTACATAACAGACAATTGACTTATGATTAATCTCAGTTTGCCTTTTCTATGAAGACAAACGATTTCGTGGGGTTTTTTATCGCCCCTCAACCACAATGAAATATGTCTTGTTGTCTTTTACTATAATTCCTTTATTATTTTACTATTCCTTTTTTTTATGTAGTGATTGACATAACTAAATAAAGACACATTACATAATCATCCGTTTGTATCTGAAAATAATCTTTAAAAACAAAGTTAAAACGCATGATATTATTTCACGTAAAAAAAACATTCAGAACTGTAACTTGGTGAAAACTCAAGAAAAGATAATTATTTCGAATTGACTTTCGCTTCTATTTTTGTTTTAAAGAAAAAAATGACAAAAGTAGATGAGATATTTTTGGATTTTTTGTATTTGTCAAACCGATTGAATCGGCATACATGAATAACTATAACCACTTTACAACTAAATATACATGTTTTTTTTACAATTCTATTGTATTTGACTGAACAGGATATATAATATCTTTGTTTTTTTCATCATTCATGTTGGTTGATATACTTTTTTATTTATACACTTTTGGTAAAATACATTTTTGAATAATAGTTTGTTTATAATTAAAAATAGTATTGTTATGGTTTGTTATATATAGTAGTTCGCTGGTTTAATTTACTGTTTTATAAACTGGTTAAAAAATATTTGTCGTTTTAGTTATTTGCAATAAACAACGGCATTTTTAGTGTTTTATTTTTTTTATTGTTTTTTAGATGTATATTTAATAGTATTATACCATACCATCTAATCGATGACACAA